ACCACCCCGGAAGGGGTCGGGGCTTCTGGGGCCGCGGATCGAACTAATCATATCGGCGGATGTCTGGGTAAGGCGCTGATTCCTTTTCAGCGTCTCGCTCTGTCAAATTGTCATATGACAACATTGACGATGCGCGTAACCCCACCAGTTGTCAGCAGCCCCTGGCAGTCAGCAGCGCGTTTGCAGCTCGATGCACGTTTGCAGCCCCTGGCAGCCTGCAGCCCACTGCCCCACCCCCTCGGCCTCTTCCTGGTCTCGGCCTGAGTTGCGGCGGTAGGCCTGTTTGTGCTAGGTAATTTAGGACCTCGGGCGGCCCGCTCGGACCTAGACACGCCGTCGGCCGCGACCCGCAGCGAGCCCGCGGGCGACGTCGTGGCGCTCAACATGCGGGCGGGCAGGGCGAGCGAGCGGCTGGCACTCCTGCTCGAGGACCTCTTCGCGGGCCCCGGGTCGGTGCTGCTCTTGGGGCCCTCCGGAGCGGGCAAGACGACGCTGCTCCGGGCCCTGGCCGGGAGGGCCGCGCGGCCGGAAGGGCCGCTCGAGGAGGACCCACAGACTTTCACCGTGGTCCAGCTGAAGGACCGGCTGAGGAAGGCGGGGCTGCCAGTGTTTGGCCCGAAAGATATTGGTGGCACGCCTGCTGGACTGCGAGCTCGCCGAGGAGCGGCAGAACTTGGGGGTGCCCACCTCGCGGCCGCTGAGCACGGTCGAGAAGAGGGTCGTCCTCGTGGACCCCGCGGGAGAGCTGGCAGGCGGTGGGGACGAGTGCCACCCGTCGGTGTCTCCAGCCTGGAAGTGGCCGACGCACACCGCGGGGCAAAAAGATCGGAGCGAGGCGCGCCGGGAGGGCATTGTGTCAGTCGTCGAGAACCTGAACCCGCAGGTCGTCGTCGTGGACGAGATCGGAACGCCCGGAGAGGCCAAGGCTGCCAAGACGGTCGGTGCGAGGGGTGTGCGCCTCATCGCCAGTGCACATGGAAGTTCACTGCGAGACCTGATGGGCAACGTGGAGTTCCGAGACCTGATCGGCGGCCTTCAGCAGGTCACTCTCGGGGACAGCAACGCACGTGTCAGTTCTGACCACCGCAAGGTGAAGACCGAGAGGGTCTCGAAGCCCGTGTTCCAAGCCCTGGTGGAGGTGCGGTCCAACTCCCTCGTGATTGATTCACCACGATTTGGCTCTGTCGGTGGACCGGCTTTTGGAGGGCACGACCTTCTTCGTCGAGGAGAGGGCTTTCCAAGGTGCAGCCAAGATGACTCGGCGGCGTCAGTTCTGAGCGCCCAGTCGGGGGTCATGCATGGGGTGCGGGGGCGAAGTTATTGCAGGAGGCGGAGGAGGGGGACAGCACATCAAACAAAAAAATGGTTTTGCTGTGTCTCCTTCTTTTTTTGGGGAGGGGCTGAGCCCAATCTACTTTATCCGCCTTCCTACTTCATGTTTTTTGCTACTTCTTCCGACCGACGAGTAAGAGTGAGCTTGTGCCGGAGTGACCTTCAGTGCGGGCCCGCGGTTACTCCCCGATCGCTGAGCGAGATGCTGTAGCAGCCACTCTTGCCTAGGGTCCACTCTTGCGTGTAGCCGAGCTGGAACGCTCACGGAGCGCTGAGGAGCGCTCTGGAACGGCCACGGCCCCCGCTGACCCGGCGGCTCAGAGATCCCCGACTTGTCCCCGTCCGACTCTGCCCTGGTCCCGGCCGCAGCGGCGCGGCGGCGGAGCCGGCGCGGGCGCTCCAGGTTGAAGGCCGCAGTCGGGCGTTGCTAGAAGTGCCCCTGGGCCAAGGTGCCCCCAGGATCCTCACCCCTCACGAGGCCCACAGGGCCCCGAGGGGCTCCAAAATGGAGCAGAAAGCTGGGGGGCACAACGGGCCAGGGGTACTTCTAGCAGCACCCGACACAGTGGCGGCCAGAGCCGGGCCCACCCTGCGCGACCCGTGCTGCTGCTCAGGGGCCAAGGCGTGCACGTCCGGCGCGGCGGGAGCCGGCCGGGTAGGCCGAGCAGCAGCCGAAGACGGCACCGCGCAGATCTCCAGCATGTAGGTTTTGTCTTCATTGCCTGCGTTTGGTTCCTCGAGTTCGGCCCCGTGGGGCTCGGCGCCGGGCCCCGGGGCCACGAAGAGCGGACCCGGGGAAAGTCTGCCTCCAGAGATGGGGGAGCCAAAAAGTTTCGATACCGCTACTCCCGGGGTGCGTTCTGACCAGGATTTCGAGGCGAATCCAGCAGTGGCGACGAGGAATGCCCAGGAGACCAAAAAAGGGGAAAACGAGGGAAGGGTAGAGGTATGGGTGCCTCTTCCTCCTCTGAAGAGAAAGGGTCGGGAGATCCCAGGGCCGCGAAGTGAACAAAGTGTGGGTCGCGGGCGGATCGCGGGTGGGTCGCGGGGTGGGTCGCGGGTAGATCTCGGGGTGGGTCGCGGGTAGGTCGCGGGTGGGTCGCGGGGTGGGTCGCGGGTGGGACGACGACAACAGAGCAAAGCAAAGCCAAGCAACACAAAACAACAAGGAAAATCATTTGCACCGCGGGAAACCATTTCAGCCACGTGCCCGGGGACAGTGGAATTCGGCGGCGAGCGAGGGGGGTCAGTGATAAGGAGAAGGCCTTCTCAGAAGGCGGCGGGACTTCTCAGAAGCCCTCGCACCTTCTGAGCAGTTTTTTTGTGTCTTCGGGGGAAGCCTTCGAGCACTTCTCAGAAGGCCGGGGGACTTCCGAGCTTTCTGAGAAGGCCGTCCCCTTCTCACGCCCCCCCTTCGCTCGCCGCCGAGTAAGACCGCTCGGCCCCCTCACTCTGATAATGTCGGAGGAAGAGGAGGAGGAGGAGGAGGAGGAGGAGGAGGAGGAGGAGGAGGAGGAGGAGGAGGAGGAGGAGGAGGAGGAGGGAGGAGGAGGAGGAGGAGGGGAGGGGAGGAGGAAGGAGGAGGAGGCGAGAGCGAGGAGCGAGGAGCGAGAGGAGCGAGGAGCGATGAGGAGCGGAGGAGCGAGGACGGAGGAGCGAGGAGCGAGAGAGCGAGGAGCGAGGAGCGAGGAGCGAGGAGCGAGGAGGAGGAGGAGGAGAGGAGGAGGAGCCCGAGCTGGCGGCAGGCCCTCCGTGTGCGCGGACGCCCGCGGCGAGGACACCTACCCCTGCTGCGGGCAGCTCGTGTTCAGGCGCGGCTGGGGCCACGGGGGCCGCCACGGGGAGTGCTCGAACAGCGGCATTCAGCAGAGGTCCGAAAGCCAGACCGCCCCCCTTTCCCCTCTCCCCTCCCCCTCCTCCTCCTCCTCCTCCTCCTCTCCTCCTCCCTCCTCCCTCCTCCCTCCTCCTCCCTCCTCCTCCTCCTACTCCTCCTCTCCTCCCTCCCTCCTCCCCTCCTCCTCCTCTCCTCCTCCTCCTCCTCTCCTCCTCCTCTCCTCCTCCTCTCCTCATCCTCCTCCTCCTCCTCCTCCTCCTCCGCCTCCTCCGCCTCCGCCTCCTCTCCCCTCCTCCCCGTTCGCCCAGCGACGACACGCCGAATAGGAGAACGCTCACTTGGAGGAGGGCCAACGGCGGCCCTCCCCGGCGTTGATCGTACCTCCCGGAGGCCTCGCGTGGCCCTTGCTGGGCCCGCGGCGAGGGCTGGTCGCCGCTCTTGCCGTCCTCCTTTCAGGAGGGAAGCAAAGACACACACATACACACACATACACATACCATCATACACATACACATACACCTACACATACACATACACATAACAATACACATACACATACACATACACATACACATACACATACACATACACATACACATACACATACACATACACATACACACAGACACCATGAATCGTCGATTTCCAGAAAATATGGGAAAATATGGGAAGTGGGGGGGAGACCCAAACCCAGAAGTACGGGAAACTATGGGGGACCCTGGTCTTTGTGTCCATCTATTTGTGTGTGTATGTGTGTGTATTCGTGCGTGCGTGCGTGCGTGCGTGCGTGCGTGCGTGCGTGCGTGCGTGCGTGTGTGTGTGTGTGTGTGCGTGCGTGTGTGTGTGTGTGTGTGTGGGTGTGTGTGTGTGTGTGTGTGTGTGTGTGTGTGTGTGTGTGTGTGTGTGTGTGTGTGTGTGTGTGTCAGGGCCTCTTCCTTCTCGGCGTCCGGGGGCCAGTCCCTGGGGCCCAGGAGCCGCCGTGAAAAACGGCGACCGGGGGCGAAGAGCTCCCTTGAGAGAGCCTGGCGCTGCAGTGTTTCCATGCCGGGCGTTTTTCCGCTCAGGCTCGGGCCCCGGGGCCCTCACGGATCGAGAGCCGACTCGAAGAATGACGCGGAGGGACGGGGTGGGGGGAGGAGGAGGAGGAGGAGGAGGAGGAGGGAGGAGGAGGGAGGAGGAGGAGGAGAGGAGGAGCGAGAGGGAGGAGGAGGAGGGGGCGGAGGGAGGAGGGGGCGGAGGAGGAGGAGAGACGGAGAGAGGAGGACGGGGGAGGAGGAGGAGGAGGGCGGGGTAGGGCTCCGGGCGTGGTTTCTGTGCGATGATGCAGTGTCTTAGGGGGCCACCTGCGAACCCTACCCCTACCCCTCACGATTTCTCAGTGGGAGGGTGGGGTTCACGTCGCTCGGGAGCTCCCGAGCGAAGTGAGCCCCACCCTCCCCCTCCGAAATGGTGGGGGGTAGGGGTAGGGTTCGCAGGTGGCCCCCTATGTTTCTGCAACGTCGGGCCTCAGGGCCATGGCGCCAACATCGCGGAGCGGGTTTCGTTCGGAGAACAGTAAGATGGGCCCGGAGAGTCCTGGAGAATTTCGTTCCGGATTTCGAGGTGAATTTCGTGCGGAGTGTTCTGGGCCAGGAATGAAGACCACAAACAAATCCACGTGAAATTAATTTCGTTTTTCGCTCGTCGTTTTGGGGTCTTGTATTGGCAGAAATCCACGCCAAAAATCCGCGGCATCACGTCCGCAAGGTCGGTGCAGCAGTGACACATCGGCACGCTCCTCACACGTTCTGTGGCCCCACAGGGGGCTCCACCGAAGACAGACAATGCCCACAGCCGCATATGGTTGGGTCCTTCGCCGGGCATTTTTGTTGGGCGTTCCAGATGGCTGCCCTGTCGGGCCTGCGTTGTTGGCCCGCGTTGTCGAGCGGATCGCCAGGGAGGGGGCCAACGGCGGCCCCTCCCTGGCGCTGGTCGTCCTCCTCCGGGCCGCCCGGAGGCTTCGCGGATCTGAGACGGGCGGGAGGGCCTCCTCCTCCTCCTCCTCCTCCTCCTCCTCCTCCTCCTCCTCCTCAATCCTCCTCACTCCTCCTCACTCCTCCTCCTCCTCACTCCTCCTCCTCCTCCTCCTCCCTCCTCCTCCTCCTCCTCCTCCTCTCCTCTCCTCCTCCTCCTCCTCCTCCTCCTCCTCACTCCTCCCCTCTCCTCCTCTCCTCTCCTTCCTCCTCTTCCTCCCCCTCCTCCTCCTCCTCCTCCTCCTCCTCCTCCTCCTCCTCCTCCTCCTCCGACAACGGAGGCAAGAAAGGGGTCGATAGTTCCGAGGGTCCACGCTGCGGTAAAATCGGGCCATCGTGAAGGACGACCCTGTCTGTCGGCCTCGTGAATCGGCCACGACGGGCGTGTTGTTCGAAATTGTGGCCTCGGGGGTCAAGTTCGGCTTCTCGGGCCTTCATATCACGAACATGAGAAGTTGGTCCTGGGGACGGGGTCGAGAGTCGTTACGCAATCACTACATGCGAGGTCCAGGGTGTTGGAGGATGGCGACGTCGACGAGGACAAGGACGAGGGTGATGATTGAGGAGGGCGAGGAGGACGAGGCGACCCTTTGCCTCGATCAGCCTACACTTGAATTCCGCTCTTGATGGCCATGCATGAAAGGCTGCGGCGAAAGGCTGAGCCTTGCGGCTATATTTGGACGGCTTTGAAGGCCATCTTGGAAAAGTTTGGGGCTCTTGGGGCAACATGTGGACCATCGTGGTCAATTTTGGGGCTATCTTGCGGTTTCCTCGTGCAGTCTTGAAGCGATCTTTGGAACCCCTCGTCGCTTCCTTTTCTCCTTCGCCGGCCTCCCTGGGTGCCGCCAGATGCGCAACCGTCGGCAATTTTCTGCGCCCCTGGGGCTCCAGTCCAATCTAGGCCTCGCCATCCCAGGGTGCTGCCACTTTTTTGCGCCTTTGGAGGTTTAGCGAAGTGGTCAGACCACTAAGGTCCAAGAGGGGCCTCGCCCCACCTGGGGGCTGCCAGGTGCGCCACCGTCGCCAGGGTCCAGCGGAGCTGTGGCCCGCGCAGACGCACATGAGACCTCGCGCTCCCTGGGCGCCTTCCAGGCGCGCAGCTGTGCAGTCGCCATTTCTGCGCCCCTGCGGGGCCAGTGGAGCGGCGGCCCGCGTAGGTCCGCATGCGACCTCGCCATCACTGGGTACTGCCAGGCGTGCAGCCGCCGCCACTCCCTGCACCCCCCGGGCCCAGCCGGAACTTCACGAGAGATGTAGTATCCTCCCGTATCGCCAAGCGTGCGGGATGGGGTGGGTGCATCCCTGTGAGTCCTTGCCTCGCCCAGCCGTCTTCGTTTCTTTCCTCCTTCCCCGCCCCTTGTTGGACTAATCCCCGCCCCCGTCGCCCTCGAATTGCTTCGAGCCCAGCCTGGGTGGGCCAGGCGCCAGACGCCCTGGAGGGGGGGGGGGTGCGCTGGCAGCCTCGCGTCGCGCTGGGAGCAATGCAAAGGGACACGCGGAGCCCTCTGGAGGGGGCTGCTCGGGCAGGCCTGGGAGGAGGATGTTACTCCAGGGCGTTCCAGAACAGGCGGAGGAGGCGGAAGATGACGAGGAGAACGAGGAGGAGGAGGAGGAGGAGGAGGAGGAGGAGCCCTCCCACGCTTGCCACGGCTGCCGCTGCTTCCCTTGTCACTGCGATCGTGGCCACCGCCTTCCAGGCGCCGACCCGACCGCCTACTACGGTGCTTCAGCCCGTTTGGGGGACCCCTTGCGCGGTGTGCGACCCACACACCGACGAGCCCTCTGGGCTGGCGGAGTCATGAGCGTGCTACACTGTGGTCGCAGCTCCTGTGTGTCTCGGCCTTGAATTGCTGCCCCACCCTTTTCTCGCCTTTTAAGTTGCACGGGTGTCAAGACTCTACGCCCTTATAGTCCAGTCCAGTCCAGAGGAGGAGGAGGAGGAGGAGGAGGAGGAGGAGGAGGAGGAGGAGGAGGGGGAGAGGAGGAGGAGGAGGAGGAGGAGGAGGAGAGGAGGAGGGAGGAGGAGGAGGAGGAGGAGGAGGAGAGGAGGAGGAGGGAGGAGGAGGAGGGAGGAGGAGGAGGAGGAGGAGGAGGAGGGAGGGGAAGGAGGAGAAGAGGAGAGGGGAAGGAGGAGGAGGAGGAGGAGGAGGAGGAGGAGAGGAGGAGAAGTAGCCTGGGAGGAGGCCTGGGAGGAGGATATCTTTCGAGAGCGTTCCAGGACAACGTTTGAGGGTTCTGGAACGGCCGCGGCGCCCGATACATCCTCCGACCCGCAGGCTCTCAGACATTCCCGATTTCGAAGGCCTTGCGGCCGGTGCCGCCGACCCTGCTCGCTAGGAGGAGGAGGAGGAGGAGGAGGAGGAGGAGGAGGAGGAGGGGAGGAGGAGGAGGAGGAGAGGGAAGGGGTGTATTCCCGACTTGTCCTAGTCGTCGCTTCGTCTTTGTCTTAGCTTCTGCCACTCTATGTCCAGGGGGGTCGGCGCGAGAGCGCGCAGGTAGCCGCTGTAGCCCGTCTGTTCTGGCGCCGAGCGGAGTGCGAAGATAGACGGTGGAGGAGGAGGAGGAGGAGGAGGAGGAGGAGGAGGAGGAGGAGAAGAGGGAGGAGGAAGAGGAGGAGGAGGAGGAGGAGGTGGAGGATGAGGAGGAGGAGAAGGAAGAGGAGGTGGAGGAGTGGGAGGAGTGGGAGGGCAAGGACGGGAGGGGGAGGAAGCAGGAGTTGAAGCGAGAGGAGGGGTAGTCGCCCTGAGACGAATGGGAGGTACGACGCTCCGTGGCACACCTCTGGATGCTGTGCCCAGGACGGCGGGGTGCTTGAAATGGTGGGCGGATCATGATGTTGTTGATGTTGATGTTGCTGTTGCTGCTGCTGATGATGATGAAGAGGAGTAGGAGGAGGGAGGGGAGGAGGATGGGGATGGGGATGGGGATGAAGACGAAGAGGAGGACGAGAACGATGATGATGATGATGATGATGATGATGATGATGATGATGATGATGATGATGATGATGATGATGATGATGACGATGATGAGGAGGATAAGGATAAGGATGATGATGACGATGATGATGCTGATGATGATGGTGGTTCTCGTGATGATGATGAAGGTGGAGATGAAGGCGAAGGTGATGGTGCAGGTGACGGAGATTATGTTGTTGATGATGACGATGATGATGAGGATAAGGTTGATGGTGGTGATGGTGATGATGTTGATGATGATGATGCTGATGATGATGATGAGGATGAGGATGGTGTGGTTGTGATGGGGATGATGACGACGACACGAGGACAACGACAAGGAGGAGGAACATGATGATGATGCTGCTGATGATGATGCCGATGACGATGATGATGATGATGCTGATGATGGTAATGACGATGACGATGATAATGCTTGTGGTGTTGATTTTGCTGCTGCTGATGATGATGCTGGTGATGGGGATGGGGATGAGGATGATGAGGATGACGATGATGACGATGCCGATGGTGGTGGAGGTGATGCTGGTGCTGCTGATGATGATGATGTTGATGATGATAATGATGATGCTGATGATGATGATGACGAGTTCGATGATGATGGTGATCCTGATGATGACGAGTTTGATGATGATGGTGATCCTGATGATGATGACGATGCTGATGATGCTGCTGATCATGATGTTGATGATGATGATGCTGATAATGGTGATGGTGATGGTGATGAGGATGCTGATGCTGCTGATGATGATGATCATGATGGTGGTGGTGGTGACGATGCTTGTGCTGCTGCTGATGGTGATGATTATGATGATGATTGTGATGATTATGATGGTGATGATAATGATGATGCTGATGTGTTTGATGATGATGACGATGATGCTGATGCTGCTGCTGATGATGATGATGATGGTGATGTTGATGGTGATGGTGATGATGATGCTTATCATTGTGGTGGTGGTAGTTGCGGTGATGGTTATGATGATTCTAACTTTCTTGACATCGGCGTGCAGAGCACAAGCGAGATCATCGGACATGCGCCTCCAGCGACTGCTCGCACGGCCCACGACACGCGATCACGCCACGGAACAGAGACATGGATGAGCGATGGACGCATCACGGCATGGCCCACGACTTGCGGTCACGGATTGAGGCATCGCGAGGAGTACGCGGAATGATGTGGGCCCATCAAGGGCTCACGAGCGCGCGGGCCGCGGCCACGCGACGGGGGCGCACACCAGACCCGCGCTGCCATGTTGTGTTCGTCGTCGCCGCTGGGAATGGTCCGGTTGATTCTGGTATACATGCCCAGAGTGCTGATGAGTGTTGGACGTCGCCGCGCACCAACGCACAGCGGGACACGCATGTTCGCCCCCACCAGAGGCGAGGCGAAGATCCTGGACGAGGTCCTTCCCTTGACCTCCTTCGTCGAAGAGGGGGGCCAGCGGGTCGGCTGATGAGTGGCCCAAGAGGCCCGCCAAACAGAGGCACAACATGGTGCTTGCTGTGTGCCTCTTTTCTGATGGGGGGCCTCGCGGGGCCCTTCTGAGACCTCCCGGGAGGCCTTACTCTTGATTCACGTTCTTGCCCCTCGCGAAGGGTGCCCAGCAGCATGCAGGACCCCACGCCAGACGCTTGTGGGCTCTTCCTCGGTGACGCGCCAGTGCTCCCACTCCGCCTTGTTGTCCTCGCCCCTCCACCTCCCAGTCCTTCCCTCCCTTCTCCTCTCCTGTCCCTCCTCCCTTCACAATCATCCCTCTTACAGCCTCCCCCCCTCCATCCCTCATTATGCGCCTCCCTGCTCTCCTCCTCCTTCTCCTCCTCGTCATCATGATATCATGCCCAGC